ACATTCATTATCAAGAATGTATAAATCCAACTGCTTCAGTTTCTTTTCCTGAGTTACAGAGCAATAATGACACACAGAACTCAGCTTTGATATAGAGGAGAGGCAGGCAGGAGTATAAATATACAGCCACAAGCCTTGAGTTTTCTGATGTTAAATGATCTCTCTTCAATAAACTGAAGGCACCTTTTCAGTGAGAACTAGTTAGTTGTTGCTCTTATTGATAAGGTGTATTTAATGAAATATTGACTGAGCTCTGATGATTTGTCTAAGACGGTACATTTGCACAGATCAATAAGATATCCACTGGATTCCTGTCATTTTCTGGATTTTCATTCTTGGATCATGACTTATGACATGCATAGAAGCATGCTCCCTTACCAATTTACTTGGCTAATGTAGTTGTCCATATTAAGATGGAAGAACTACACTCTCTACACTCCATTAGTATTGACGAGGTCTTCATAGACAGCGGGAAATTAGCTTGAGTATAAATACTTATGATAGACACCTTCGGCAAAATAAATTCCTCTCCTAGTTCCATATCTGATGTAAAGAAACTACTTGCTTTATGAAGAGCAGCTACCCTCTCACCGGGGCTAAAAACAAAACAGAATAAGTCTCAAGGAAGTACATGAAACCTGTCTAGACCCCTGGTCAACGGGTCACGAAATTATTAATGCCTGCACAAAAGGGAGGGAGGGCCAAACTACAATAGCACTAACAGATAACGTATTTCTTCAATCTGGCTTGACTTTGACAAGACTTTAAATTAATGGGAGAACAAGACATTTCTCATCCAAAGGCATGGTGAAACTATAAAGTTTAACAAGGGCTCTTAAATCTACAGCACATTTTCGTACAGAGTACAAAAACGATAAGAGAGTATGCCTCTATTTCACTTCCATCAATGAAAACCTGGCACCAGCAGAGTAGGAGAAAGAAGCACATTCTAGTCACCTACAAAGTTTGCTGGCATTCAACAAGATAACAGTGCACACTTGAACACTCAAGGAACATAAAATATCCACTAAAAGGAAATAAAAAAATTTAAAAAACCGATAGACTTCATCTTTTAGGGAGCTGTAGATTTGGCCCTGAGAAAACCATTCATTCTTGTCTGTGGCTCCAAAATGAATCCTCTCAGGTACCAACTGAAGTATACAAACCATTAAAGACCTACTGAAAAGATTTTCTCATTGGCATCTGAATTAAATGGATCATCTTGCTTCAAAAGATAACTTTCCCGTGGAACTAGCGTTGCTGCTAGTCTAAACTAATATGCTAGCTTCTATTAATGCGATCTGTGGCATCTCAGAAAGTGTATGGTACCTTTCTGGTATTGTTTAGTAATTACATAGCTGCAGTCCAAAAGAGGATTGAAACTTCATAATCCACGTAACCTAATCTTATTTCTAGCAACACCCAGCTTCCAAGTTATCCTTTAAACCTTTTGGTGTGAGATGAAAGGACTTCACCCCCTTTCCTTTCTCCAGAGTAGGGAAAACTAGAAACAACTCTCAATTATCTATGAGCAATGGTTCATTTTGTTGATTTATCCTCCCATGGACATAGCGAGCACCATTTTTTTTTTTTGGTTATGATCATGGCTCTGGGAGCAGAAGTGCCACAGTATCACACAATGTCACACTCTAGACTTTGGCTAGTTCAGAAAAACAGGGGGCAAATATGTCCTAAAAAGTGGAGACCTTTAGATGAAACTGAACAGAAAAAAATCTGTCCACCATTTTTTTTCCTCTAAAGAGGACTGGAAAGAGATCTATGCTAAAACAGTGTCTTTTCCAGCACTGTTGTGAGTGTGAATCTTTCTTTTTTCAGTCTTTCCCCAGAGTAAACTCATATTACTGATGAGAATCGGAAAAGTCTGCTGTTACAATTTCCTCCAGTAAATGTGGTAATGCTTCATACTGCTCTAGTTCTAGAAACTGGTAACTAGTATCAGACTGCAACATAACAGGGATTCATCAACTAGAGAGACCTTCACCCTGTAAACAAGGCCCCACTATCTGGGTGGACATAGAGTTGCTTTCCACACTGACTGCTGGAGATATTATTCTACAGTGGGATGTGAGATCTGTCACTAAAAAATTGCACACTGCTAGAAAAAAAGATGCTGGCTGTGGCTTAAAACTCAAAAACTCTGAGTAGCAAATTCAGTAACTGTCCAAATCAATGTCTGAAAGTTGGGCCATATTAATAAGTGTGGAACACCTCATAAGACAACTCCAATATATTTGTCTGGAAAGCTAATGCTTCAGATTTCAGCTCCAAGATCCATATATGGAGATATCAATTCCTTTATCAACTAATGCTGAAGTAGTTGCCATGCCAGTCCTGGACCAGGGTAGTTCCATGGATAGCTCGGATGACTGGTCAGAATTAGAAAAAACAGGAGAGAATTTCTGATACAGATATAGTATTTGTGGTAGTAGCCCATTATCAAACAATGGATAAAGGCTAGAGATTCTTTGTGGTCAACTCGTTCCTCCTCAACGTGATAGGTATTCATGTAACCTCCCAGTGTAAAATCATGCTCCCAATAGCTACCAAAGGCAGCACTGAGCCTGTACAAATAGTTGTGGAAAGTACCTAAATTGTTAACTGAGTCAAGAAATTTAGTATCAAATCAGCATCCTACACTGCTGCAAATAAAATCTGCATGTTGCATTGCCTTACAACACTAGTCTCTGCTACCCTTAAAACATTCAACATTCAGCCATATTTACTGCATAATTTCCTGTTTTCAAAAGCCTACGCTGATTTTCACAAAACATAAGTAAACAATCATCTATCCCACTAATGCTAAACCTATGTATAATAGATTTCTTTGGAGAACACCCTTGGAGATGATAAGTCCAGGGACTGGTTGACAGAATGGATGAGCAGAGGAGAATCTTTTGCTGCTTGGCAGAAAGCTTCAGATGTTGTATAAGTGCAACAGCTCCCAGTGAAGATACTGGGTTTGGGGTCTGCAGATTATAGAGCAGCCATATTCCACTACGAGGGCAACAGAAGCCATCAGAGAATAAAGGAATGCACACGCTAATCTTAAGGATGATATTATTCTGGATATCTAGTAATTCCCTCTGGGTCCTTTCAGGCATTGGCTTATCTCCAGAGCTCTCCACCATTTCACTTGTGCCGAAACATTGTGTTTAAACATTTTATCCTTGCCTTGCAATTCTATGGTGACATACAACTCACATTATCCTTCTACTGCCTTTTTCCTTACCTTATTTATTCTACCACGTATAGTTTTCTGGAAGTATGAGTTTATAAGGATGAGTGGATAAAGAGGAAGAAAGCAAAAAAAAACAGCTGCTGCCCTTTTATTAGTACAGCTAGTACAGCCTGCTCTGTAGTGAGAGAGAGAAGAGATGGCAGTACTGTAGTCCACCTAATATTGTGACTAAATCAACCTCCTCACCTCTTTCGTTAAATTTTCCCATAAGATCTTTCTCTATGAAATGATTCCCCCCATTCTTAAAAAAACAAAAAACAAAAAAAAACCCACACAAACTTTTTCCAACAAGACCCACAATTGCTAGTAAATGTTTGTATAGAGCAACAGGGAAACTGGCCATCATAAGTGGCAATATAGAACAAAGGGCCCACTGAGCATCAGAACTCTAGTCTTGTTGAGTATTGTACATGCAAAACATATCTGGTTGTGAACTTAATCTGTACAAGAGGATCAAGAAAATACAATAAAACATACAAAAAAGAGCATATTAAAATCACAGCAATACTTAACAATGTCATAGGCATGAATGGCACGGAACAGAGCATGGACTATAAATCCTGAAAACTTAGCTAGTGAAAGACTGCCCTATTTTCAAAGCTGTGGCTATAAACAGCTAGGCAAGAACGAGAGCCTAGATTTTATCTCCCTGTGTGGTAAAAAGAGGAAGTTTATACACCTTGAGATGTCTATAAATTCATTAAGCTGAAAAAGAGGTGATAACTAGTAGGGCTAAGGATTTTTAAGGATGATAACATGATTTTAGTCTGCGGGGAAGGAAACAGAAGATGAAGTTTAGCTTGTGGGTGTAAAAGAAAAAAAAGAGGAGTTTCTTTTCTAGAAACCACATAGAAAATACCACACACAGATACTGTGTGCAACTGCACAATAAATTAAACAAGCTACCTATTCACTAAAAATAATAAATATTTTTGATATATCTGCACAAGAAGGAGAACGTTCTTCTACAGGAAAACGTTCAGTTTCCCCAAGTTCGATAAAGTCCTCTTTAGCCAGATTTCTCTTTCATGAGGGGAATTTTCTCACAGCCTCAAAAGGACTAACATTTTTGCAACATTAAAATAAAACCAGATTCCGATACCTTATGATGAAGTATTGCATTTACTCCTCTCCTAATCTTCAGTTTTCCAGCACTTATTGCTCCTTAAATGCTTTCTACAGGCAGTACAATGAGGAATTTCTAGCTAAGTAAAGGTCTAAAAGTGAAGGAGTTCAGCATTTACCTCCCATATTGAAATATACGGAGGTGAATTGTGTACTCAAATGCTGCTCAAGAAGTACATTTGGATGGGTATCAAAATCTTTAGGAGTTAACACCTGAAAGAGCATGTTAAAGTATAGCTCAAGTGAAAGGTTTTTTAAAAAGTTGTAGAATAAACATGGACATTTAGAGAATATCTTTCTCCTGCCGTTTCTCTTTTCCTCTTTCACTACAAGGGACATTAGAACTCTAACTTTAAAAAAAAAAAATACTATTAACTAATCTTGCTCTGCTCTATTGCTGATGATTTCATACATAATCAGTCTTCTGTCTAGAAATGCAGAGCTCCTGTCACTCACCTAAACTCTGGACCTAAACGCTCTGGGACTAAGACTGTTACAGTGGGAACAATGAAGGCATTAAGTACTTAGTAATAGGAGAAAGGACAGTGTATTTACATAAGTTGAACAGAAACTCTGTTCTGACCCGATGTTTCAAACAACAAAATATTCCATTTACCATTTTCAACATGGGCAAGTCTGTGCAGGAGAGGCAGCCACACAAGGCACTGAGGAGGTGGGTCAGCCATCAGTGTGTCTAAGAACATGTTTAGCATGATCTTTTTCTGCAAAGAAAAAAGAAATGCAACTTAATTATATGAAAAGTCTCATTTTTATATACCAAAACTTATCTTAAAGTCTCTCTATGATTCAGCTTCTGTGTACCAATAATATACTGTATGTTGTAAACAACAGATAAAAATCATAATTTCTTTGGCTCAGAGAGTTTCAAATTAGAGAGAAGGTATTAGTATAGTCACAGTATAATCATACAAAATAAATGATAAATAAGTGAATAGAAAATTCCAGAAAACGGAGGGCTAGTCAATCAGTAATTTCTGAATTGCAGTTAAATAATCCTATTTTGAAGAGGGATACAACAAGTGTGAGAAGAATTTATTTAGCAGTGTAGAAAATGGTATTTCAAACATACAGGCAGTATTGAAAAAAGTAGACACATACATTAAAAAGAGTAATTACAACTAATATTTACATATGATCTAAGCAGAAAATTAATTTTTTAAGAAGATAAAATCAGAAAAGCAAGAGACAAGGGGAGAACTTGGCTAATATTTTTAAAATAGACAATAAAAACAAAATTGAAATGAAATCACTAGGGGAAGGAAGTCAGCAACAGGGCTTTTTAAGAGTAACTTTTTCTAAAGTTTCAGATTCAGATGAGCATGAAAAAAGTTTCTCCTGGGAATATAAACAGATGGGGATAACTGGTAAGAAAAATAGCTAAGAACATTATGGATACAAAGAAAGACTATTTTGGCTTTTTCATACAATAAACTAGATAACTAGGAATTTCTCAGAGGCAGAAAACCAGCTGGTCACATAGCACTTTTTCTCACCTTTGCACTTGACAGGGTTACTTCAAAAAGCATCCATAAAAGGGAAGGGAAACAGAACTGGAGGAAAAGCCAGTCTGGTTTTCTAGCAGCTGTGAAATTAACTGTAGCTTTCACTTGCAACTATCATGCCACAAATTAAGTACTTTTTGGTAAGGAGAAAGTTTATATTTAAAGTATCGATATTTTTGTGATTAGTGACAAATGTATACATCTACCGCCTCTGCAGCTAACTATCCTGGAGAGAAAATACAGAATTACAATTATCTATGCTAGTTACCATATAAGGAAAATTTTTAGAAATATTTAATCTTATTTTCATCTTCTGTAAGGTGTCCTTGTTCTAGTCCCCCTATTTAATAAATTAAAACCTTTTTCTGAATAACTAAGCTACCTACTGCTGGTACAGGCGAGTTCAAGAATTTCCTTTGCCGGATATGACATCAGACACACCACTTGGAAAAGAATGAATGTCTTGATATTGCCTGGTATCCTAGCCTTCCTTCCTCCTCTAAAGCTAAGTCATCTACTGGGCTATTGATGATAAGACGCAATCAACCTCTCTTCCTCTCCTTTCAGAGGTGAAGACATCCAAAATCTTTTAACAAATTCACAGCTCGGTAAGGCCATGAAGCACTCCAAATATGCTGAAACAAACCTTCTGATGGGGAGAAAATGAGTGGCATCATTGTCTGTAATTGGTGTGTAGATGGTGTGTTTCAAATGTTATCACAATTCTGTAACTGCTTACCTGTAGAAGTATTGGACAACTTCATCAATATACCTCCAAGGTTTCTGATTTTGACTTCGCTTTCACCTCTCATACTGTTTCACATAAACAGCATATGAAAGATTTTCTATCTGTAATCCTTGTCAAAGCTAAGAAGGGCATATTGCAGTAACTGCACCTGACCAGCAGGGACTGGAAGCACTTTATTTTTGATATGCCATTCAGAACAAGAGTGTGGAAAACGTAGACAAGTTTCTGGTTTAGTTGACAGGAAGAGAAAAGGTTATTTACCAGAAACCACAGCCCTTCAAGATATGTTGTGCAGATATCCATTCACACCCTGTGTGTATATATGCTGTTCCTTGGTTAAAAAGGCAAAGAATCTATCTCAGAGGGACAACACACACAGACTTTCCAATCTTAGGTTACTCCAAAAAAATAAACGCTGCTCACAGAGAGACATGTTTTCCAGAGATGAAACTAAGGATCCATAAGACAGTGACATGTAAGGGGTACAATGGCAGAAGAACCTAAACCTAACTAGAAAGCTTCTTTCTGCTATAGACAAGGATGTTCCTCAAAGAAAAAAAGGTTGCTTTAAGCAGTGAGAACCATGAAACCTTATGAGTTGTCAAAGACTGTGTATAGAGTAGCATGACTTCCATGTAGATGATGAGAAGAATACAGGCTTTGGGTATTTCCTCCAATACAGGTAGGACATTTTGAAAACAACTGACCAAACAGAATCATGCAGCATTATCACTGCTGCATTCTGTCTCTGTGGGCATTAGCATTCTTGGTAATGGCAGAACTGACAGGAAAGCAAATAGCAACCTCCTCCTCCTCCTGCGAATTAGGAACACATCAGAGAAGGAGCCTAGATAAAACCTTTTTCTGGAGCAGAAGGTCTAACATTTCCTACTGGTTCAGAACCCAACCATGGAGCAACCACAGATACATCACTCAGTCTCCATTTATGATGTAGCAACACTTGAATAATCTGGTAGCAATTTCCAAACCCCAAGAACATAAATTAAAAATGGGTCAATGTGAAAGCAGTCTTCAGGGTCAAATGTTTCCCAACAGAAAAAAAGCCTTCCTGCATAGTTTTTTTTTTCCTGTAATTGCCTGCTGTCTGTCCTATTGTAATAACTGTTGTTACCAATTGCTGTTAGCATACCTACTCATCTTAACAGATGTGTAGTCTCAGATCTTCTCGCAGGTGGGTACAATGACAGAATATTCCAGTGCTATTCTTATCTTAAAAGGAGTATCACAGGCTTGCTTCAATGGCAAAAACTCAGCCAGGTTTATTGTCACAATGCCAACATGATTGTTCCAACAAGATACTAATACATACATTTCCCCAAGATCCCCGCACAAAACCACATCCCCTGAGCCAAAGATATCACATATCACAAAGATATGTGATATCTAACTCTCCTTTAGAGTGATCAAAGCAAGTTACAGCAATCTAAACAGCTGTGTATTAGACCTCATCTGTATCTAATTGTGCTGCATCTTGTGCTTAATCTGCAACTCTATCAACGTGAGCCTATACCATCCTTACACACAAGACCATCCTGTGCTTAACAGACGTATCTTATCTCTACTATTCACTTTTAACAAGACTGCACATCTTGATCACACTCCTGACACTGTTGGCATTTTTAATCTTGTACAACGAGTTCAGTTATAAGCCGTCAGCTCCAAAAGGCCTGAGTCAGTCAATACTTTAGCAAAGTAGGCAAGCAAGGTATGTACAAGTCAAGGCCTATCTAGGCCTATTTGTGTAGTTTGTGCAGCTGAGTTTCAACACACTAACATGCAATTTGACCTCTAGAGAGGCCAAGCTCCTTGGGCTCCCAAGTCTCTGAAGTGAACTTCTCAGCCCAATAGAAAAACGGCTATTAAAATGCTCTGGAAAGCACATAAAAATGGACACTCCTCTGCAATGACAAGATAGGCTGTGGCATAAATAAAGACAGATTCTAAGGCAAGGAATGTCATGATGACATGACATTTCTATGACAGCTAGACTGTAGCCATGTGAACAGAATTTTTAGGCAAAGTATGACATGATCTCTCACATCTGTGAAAGCAGCCACTTGACCTAGTATACTAAGTTATGACTGGGAGCTCTTCATCCATGGGGAAACCATCACAAAGAATGCAGGTCTCATCCAAAGTATCCCAGTGAACTCTGTTTTGCATGGGCAGCAGTCTGAATTATTCCACCTGAGACCCAAGAAATCAAACAGAACGGTGCATACATGCACCATATAATCACCAGCATTTCTTTGCCCATCTGCCCCTTGACAACACAGATAGCAATAAATCATTAGCATATTGCACCTCACAGAAGCAGCTCCTGGAACCAGGACCTCCATGAAGACCCATGAACCACTGCTGGCTTTGTCTCATGGTAATTTAGACAGCACCAGGGAATGTTCCTGGCACTGGAACTTAATCATGTTGCTTTTACATTATTAAACCTGTCACTGGTTTAACCAGCCACTCTCCCAAATGATTCTGGCATCCAGATCAGGAGTTAATGTGGGCTAGGAACCATTCTTAATAAACAGCTTGGATTTAACCACCCTATTTCAGGAACTAAGAGAATTCAGGAGCATGGATGTGGCTAGAGCACTCTAGTTGACCTGGAAATCCAATGGCTTTACCAATGTCATCTGGAGAGAATTTGGGCAAAGTGATAGGCTGTTACAGTAGAACATCAGAGAAGCACCTCTGGAAAGCTTTATTTTCAAGCCTGGGAGGCATAATAGACTTGGGAAGCATAAGAAAACGGAATTATGTTCAAGATAGGTTACCCATGCGCTTCCCAAGACCAGTCTGTTTCCCTCTTTTCGTACAAATGGAAGAGATTTGTTTTGGGGCACACTCTATAACTGGACTAATAAAAAACATTAACACTCTTTGCAAACAAAGCCTTACTCTAGGGGTTTTGTTTTGCTGAATAGAATTAGAGCAAAGACATTTCTAAAAGGCAACCAACATGCAGATGAATTATCCTTCTTGTTCGTGGAAGCTAGAGCTATAAAGAGTGCTAAGACATGCTGCAGGCAAGGCATGTGCAAATGGACAGTTACTACATCTCAGCTGGCAACCATGATGAGACTTGCATCAAGTATCTTAGAAATATCAGTCACTCGTCAAAGTCAGTCTAGCTACACTAGCCTCTCTCTACGCATAACCAAGAAATGGTAGATTCCAGATGGTGAGTCATCTCATCCAAGTGTAGGCTTCAAAACAAATTAATAAGAATCATCCCTGGCTGGGACTCATTTAGTCTCTCTTTACAGACAGTGGAAAGAGCGTGTATAGCTTAATATCTGACTTTTATAGCTGTAAAGTTAGGCTGTGGTTTGACATTCAATAACAGTGCCGCTTGAGTGAAATTTGGTTTGACCAGATCAGTTTCCCCACGTGCAGGAACAGCTTGCGCTGACACAACAAAAAGGGTGGCATGTTGGTGGGAACAAGTGACGGCTTACAAACACATCAACCAGTACTGATATCAAAAAATTATGTATTAATTACTCTATCAGTGAGACAAATCTCTATCCTCAGTAACTCAGATGAGCTGGAGCCCTCACAATTTCCTAAATCAGAGGCTGTTTCCTATTGTGTTGCAATTCAGATGTACAAATTGCTAATTTGTTGAAATTAGCAATTTCATTTTAGCAAAAGTGACTATAAATTCTAACTCTAAGCACTTTAGAAATATTTCTTCCAGAACATAATCATGACCAAAATCAACATGTTTAAGTTTAGTTGTAATTTAATTGTTTCAAGTATTTATTTAATTTGAGATACTGTAAGATAGCGTAAATAAGCCTTAAACCAACTGTAAACATGAACCTAGATAATCTTACATCTAAACTGTATGGAGAAATATAAACATTAAAGTTCTTTAAAAGTCCTTTTAAGACCAGTATTACTTCATCTACTCCAAAAATTACTTGACATGGAGCTATTTTGGAAAAAATAGTCATACCAATAAGCCCAACAGTTAAATTGATTTTAAAAACAAACTATGCATCGACAGTGTATTTATTTTGCGCAGACTCAATCAGGTAGCAGTTGATTCGTTGAAGCTAACACTCTCAACACAATCGAGAAAGATTAATAGATTAGAGAAGAGTGGTAAAAATTGCTGTGTTTCATGTTTCAGAAAAAGAATGCTTTCTCCTTACTAGTCTTCTGATAGGTAAAAAGTAGTGTCCTGTTAAAGAGAACATAAAGGATTTGGCACAATTTTAGTTTAACTGCCTAAGGCCTAGATGTAATATCTTTAACTACTCAGATTTTCTTTAAAATTGCTTAAATACTGTACATTACTCCCCCCAAAAGCCCTCCAAACCCCATACAAACTGTAACCAAAGAATCCAGTGGACTTTTCAAGAGAGCAGTAGATTAACAAGCAATACAAAAGTCCTGTTTTGTTAACTCTTACTTGTTGTGGGAAACACGTCCGTACTGAGTGTTCTGTGTATCCGAAAGAAGGCCCTTCAAAAACAGCTGTTGGAAGTTTTAGAACTTCTTTCAAAAACTGATCAAATTTTGTAAATATCATTAGTCCATTTGAATCTGATATTTGGGAGAAAATATCTGTAAGAAAACATAACAAAACCCTAGAGTAAAAACATGTTTAATATAAAAAAAAGAAAAAAATAATAATTTCAACCCATTTAAACCTCCAGTTATTTCTACTTCTTTTTATTCTGAACAGTTTCTTATTACTTGCTCTCAGGACAAAATATGTAAGTGAACACATCTGAACATGCTATAATATAAGTTTTCCTGTTTCATCTATCCCATCTCACCCATCCTTGAGAAAAGTTTCTTCCACTGTATTATTATAACAGCAAGGAAGCAGAAGCTATGAGGCATTATAAAAGATCATAGTTACAAAACATCATTGTATCTTAATGTTTACTCCTTAAAAATAAAACTACCCAAAACTACTTTGAGAAACTTTTAAAAAAAAAGTTGCAAGAATCACAAAGTTAAAACCAGCAAAACTCTTCGCACTGAAGAGCATCAGAATTGCCATGTTGAATTCAAGTAACAAAGCAGTAGAAGAGAACAGCAGAAGTAAGTACACTAGCCAGAAACTGGGGTGCAACAACCAACGTCTCTGAGGCTGCTACGCATAAGCCGTGCAGGTGAGTGGATGGGGAGAAGGAAGTCCAATTTCATTTTATATCAGAGATGCTGTGCACAGTGAAGAGCTGGAAAAGGAATTTTTGTCCCTACACAAGGTGTATGTTTATTACGAGAAGAGGTATGCCTGTAAATCAGCTATGTAGGGCTAAATATATTTCTGAAACCAAAAGGAGAACGGGGCAAGATACTCAGCAGTTCCGGCATATACACAAAGGGGGATGGGGAGGGTCTCAGGTGGTGGCAGGGAGGCTCTCCAGATTAGGAGGGACTTCACAAGGCTTCTTCCCATCTGCATGCCTGTAGGCAGGACTGCAGCAGTTTTGCAAGTATTTTCACTCCCATGCCATGGGCCTAGCTATAGGCAAGTGGATGGCAAGAGGTCTCCCGAGCCTCCTGCTCTGGAGTCCCTATATTCCCTTACATCATAGAGTTCAAATTCCTCCAAATCCCAACCCAAAGCTCCCGGCTCCCATGCCTTTTATGCCTCCCACGCCAGGAAACGTTTTAGCCAAACACAGTCCTCTCACTCATCCTAACACTTCTTCACTGACCCAGATCTCATCACTCACCAACTCCTTGTAGCAGATATGACAGCTATTAGTAGAGATGCTGCTTTTTCTTACAAAGCTGCATATTTCTCCCCACAGTAAATTTAAAGGGGGGATTTTTATTTTCAGTTTTAAGACGTAACAGAAATTCTCAATTATTCTCCATATGGTAAAACCACCAATTAAAAGTTAATACATTAAGAACATTTAAGTTCCAAAATGAACCTATCACTTTCCAATCTATTTTGTGCAAGCTATTGTACAGCACAGGTTTATCTGAAACCATATCATTATATACATGAAAAAGCTCGAGAGATCCTCACCTATTAAGCTAGTAAAGGGCTTTTTATTTGTAAAAAAAGAGTTTCAGGGAAGGAACAGTAACTATGATTTTTTGAGATGTCATCATCTGTATTCCACCCTGTGTTAACTCCCTGTCAGTGTAGAGTCCTATACCATCTGGACCCATACAAACAAAAATACCCAGGACGCCTGAGCCTTGATGTTCTCAAGTGGAAAGGCAGGACATGAAGTATCCAGTGCAAACACATGCCCAGCTGGCACTGAGGACCAAAAGAATCCAATTTCACACGCCTGGAGAACATGTGCAGTCGCCTCATTCAGCGTTTGGATGCTACTAGCAATCTTTACTTAAGTAATGGCTGCTCTAATTAGACAAACAGTTCCCAGGTATCAGACTGACAGATTGAAAGCGCCTGCAACAATGCCTGTTGTGCAAATTAAAAGTGGGCATCTTTGATAAACCTGAGATATATCTTGACCATCTTAAAGCACTAAGCCAAAAAATTAACGGTACTCTCCTGCTTGATCTATGTCTTAACTAGGACAAAAAAATGTTTTGCTGGCCTTGATTTGAGACTTTTTTTTTAAATTTGTGTTGTAAGAATGAGAACTGACTTGCTATAGATGACCCTGGACATAGTGCGGAAGACAGCTGAACAGCTAAGTTACAGGATGATAGAAGAACCACGTGGAATTCCCTGTATTTCAGCTTGTGCCCACCACCTCTCTTCCTGTCACTGGGGTAATCGGTTACAGATACCTGACTGAAATTTCCTTCAACCAGAATCTTATTGTCTAGACACCTCAACATGAAAATGTTTTTTCCTAAATTCACTGCTACCTGCTGTAAAAATAATGGAGAGACCTAAAATGGAGCACTCAGCATACTCGTCTAGCTGTCATTTTATCACAGCAAAGAAGTTTATCGCTCCCTTACCCTTGGCTTGTTCTCACTGTCTCTCTCGCTCCCTCACCTTCTCCTCCCCTAAATATAAATCCCTTGAGTCTAGCAGCTGACTTCCTCATATAGCCAGTTTTCAAATTACCTTAAATAAATTACACAGAAAGAATTTCTTAACGGAATGACTTCCAATTGAACACTGAAGAATAGAGATCATAACATCCTTTAATACCCAGCTTCGAGTTATGTTCAGGAAAATAAAAATACAGGAAAAGATGGTTAGATGCTATTAAAGGACAGTGATGTCAGTGTATGAAATGTTAGAAAAGCTGTGTACAAATAAAATAAATGTCTTGGGATCAAAAAAATCTCTTTGGGAAAGAGTTCTCATACAGTAAAGCTGGGTCTCTGATACACCTACAGTGTCAAATTACGCTATGAAGAAAGATTTCTCTAATAACACCACTAACATTAGTGAGAACTAAAATATTCCTCAGAGATGATTCAGTGGCTGTTCAGTAAAGAATTCTGTTATTTAAGACATCATAAATAATTAAACTTTATATAGAGGAAGTGTTGAAAGAAAATAAAGTTAATTTAAGCGATCAAAACTATGTCTGTAAAAAAGATACTATTTCAAAATGGCATATTTCCAGTAAATTAGAGAAATGATTTAAATTTCCTGAGTGAAACAGCTCATGAAGAAGTCTAGAATGTGTAAGTTACTGGTGCTGAAACTATCTGGAATTTGTATCACAGGATAAACGGATAAAATTGAAAGGAAGGCCTGAAGACCTTGCTGACTGAATAATATTATAAGTCATACTAGCAATAAGGAAAAAAAAACATCCAGTGAGAAATGGGGGTTGAGTGGAATATTAAAGAATGCTGTATCTTAGAGAAGAGAATTTAAGTCAGGCACAAAAGTCAAATTTAACCTGAAAATTGAATGTGGAAGCAAAGACAGGTTCAGTAATGGATACAAATGGAAACCAGGGAAATAACTAAAACTAAATAGAGAAACAAACCTGAAGAATCCTTATCCGTTCAAGATTCACTCCAAAACTGGCACATGCACAAAAAATGAAGACCTAGTCACAAATCTATTAAGGTGAGATTGCTGTAACAAGATTGGAGCAGGACAGTACTTGTATTTAAAAAAAAGGACAGAAATGATCTGGGTAAATAGGGTCTATTAATCTGAACTGAACAGTATGCAAGGGTTAAAAGAAAAAGATTTTAAGGAGAAAGCAATTAAAGCTATGAAAATGAACAGAAAATGAGATAAAATAGCACAGGATATATCAAGGGTAAATTAAAGAACACCAACCTATGTCTTGCTGTCATAAGAAAAATGCTTTTTTAGTCAAGAGTGAAGTTGAATCATCCTTGCGGGAAATTTCCACATGAGAAATTACTAGTGAAATTGGAGAAGATGGAGATTAGTAAGATAATTATACAGTGATGTCCCCTTTTGGAGGGCAGCATAAAAAAAGGAAAAAAACCCCTCAAACTAAAGAACAGCTTACAACGTAATTTCAGTGAGACCCTACCTTAGGGTCAAACTAGTAAACTGTTGTTTAAACGGTGCTGTGAGAGCAATTGGCATGAGCTAATAAAATTTCCTGATGACATAGTATTATAATTCAATTCTCATATAAAATTCCAGTTCAATGCTACTACATTATAAACATTCTTCTTCTTTTTTTTTTTTTTTTAAATCAAGGAAGAAGAGTCAGAACTATAAAAACCACTGCCCCATTCCAAAAAAAGCCAAAATAAAATGGTGCTTGTGCATTTTAAGATTTCCTCTCTCTAAATATCTGTAGCAGAACTTTTACATTATAAATGGAGTTTGTAATACCAGCTACCGATAAAATTGCCCAACACTTCCCTTGAGTTTCTTTTCATTTGCTTATAACTTTGCCAAAATTAACTGTTCTACTTTTTCCATTCAAGGCATCTGCCTGATGCTTTGCAGAGTTTCAGCTGAAGGCTCAATCATTTCCCCAAATAAGTTAAAAACACAACAAAAAGGGTAACTGCCCTGGGTGTATCCAATTCTTATGATGTTGTCAAATTTAACCCTAAGAATCCATATCGCATTTGCTAAACACTAGATTGCTTATCAGTAAAAGCCCAGAAAAAGTCAATTTAATATAGATAAGCTAGCTTGGCTACACTTCTGTAGGGGGGGAAGAGTGTGCAGCAGTTTTTCTGGTCTTAACTCAAAATACATAATACCAACATAATGACAATCCAAGGAAATACAGGCCAGCCAGTCTCACTGCAGTTCCTCAGAAAATCATGGAGCAAGTCCTGTTCAAACACATTTCTGGGCAAACACAGGAGAAGGTGACTGGGAGCAGCCACAGTGAATCCACAAAAGCGTGAATCCCACCTGCCCAGCTTGATTGCCTTCTGTGATCAAATCCGAACCATGATAAAATCCACTGAATCTGTGGATGTCATTCACTTCAATTTTAGCAAGGCTTCTGACTTTCGTATCACCTAATATTCTTGTATCCAACCTGGGATGTTACAGCTCAACAGCCAGCATGGGGAACTGGATGAGGCCACCTAGTACTGTTTGTGCTTGCATGAGTATTCTCTGTCTGTGTTGATCTGTTGGCTGGTTGTGTGTGCGCCTGTGTAAACATGCCTACTGGGAATACATGCCCAGCCTCGCC